TAAAACCAATAACTCACTGTATTGAGCTAGTGATGTACTAAACCATAACTCACTGTGTTGAGCTAGTGATGTATTAAACCAATAACTCACCTGTATTGAGCTAGTGATGTACGAAAACCAATAACTCACCTGTGTTGAGCTAGTGATATACTAAAACCAATAACTCACCTGTGTTGAGTAGTGATGTACTAAAACCAATAACTCACCTGTATTGAGGTAGTGATGTACTAAAACCAATAACTCACCTGTGTAGAGCTAGTGATGTACTAAAACCAATAACTCACCTGTGTTGAGGTAGTGATGTACTGAAACCAATAACTCACCTGTGTTGAGCTAGTGATATACTAAAACCAATAACTCACCTGTGTGGAGCTAGTGATGTATTAAAACCAATAACTCACCTGTGTAGAGCTAGTGATGTACTAAAACCAATAACTCACCTGTGTTGAGCTAGTGATATACTAAAACCAATAACTCACCTGTGTTGAGGTAGTGATGTACTAAAACCAATAACTCACCTGTGTTGAGGTAGTGATGTACTAAAACCAATAACTCACCTGTGTTGCAGTGGGATGAAGTAAAAATTAATCAGCTGGAATGCCGGCCATACTTTATAGTTAGCAATGACTGTGTCAAAATAGTCCTGAGTAAATTAAACAGAGTGAAAGAAACTGATATAAATGGTGGCAATTGAAAATTAATTAAGTACAATTACTGACGTCTTCCAACAGTGTGCTATAGGACAATGTATTTTTCAAGCAAGAATGCCAAATTTTGGTTAATTTCAATACAATGTAAACTAAAGTTACCCCATTAGATTGTTTTTTGTAAGAATCTGAAAACTAGTTTTCATAACATTCAAAATGGCTGCAGCTATATTTTAATAATAGGTCAGCTGACAGTGTGTAGCCATATTCAGCTTGATTAAAATCAGTCATCTCCAAGGGTAGTATTTATTACGGTTATTTTATGTTATTTTACGGTTTTCTGTGTAACGTACCTGACGTACTTTGTCTTTAATCTTTTGTAAGGATTTACCACTCGCACATCCCATGACGGTGAAAAATGTAAATATAAACAGAGGAGCCATGATAATCTAGAAAATAATAGAAATAAACAAGAAGAGTGATTATTCTGTGGTAATAATACAAAAATAGGGGTTCCAAAATATATGTGTAATACAAGTAACCTGTAGAATGCTGTATGGGTAATATTTTTATATTGATTTTTGTTGCATTTGCAGCAAATAGTTACCAAACAATGAGAAATCTATAAGATTGGATATATCTCTCAGCTGGCTTCACATGCATAGTTCAAGACTACCTAACCAGTGCTTATACCGGGATTTAGTTACAGTACCTAGACGGTCTGTGGTTACAGCTTCTTGTTCCGAGTAATTGCAAGAAATTGACATTACAATAGAAAATAAAAGACTGGCAATCCTATGCCAATAATAGCAAGTGAAATTCCTGGGATTGAAACATAGATTTTGAAGTCACTGATGTAGGCATTGAATAACTTCAAGTTGTCATAAAGACGACTCATTTAGATGAGGTAGTTTAGAAGCTGAAAATATAATTAAGTCCGTTGTCATATAATTTGTTTATTTCAATTTCTCCTAAAGTCAAATAGAATACATGTTTTGTGGGTGTAGTTTACATTGTGTATGAATTGGTAGGGTTGGGTTTCATATAATTTGTTCATTTCCAACTCTCATGAAGTCACATAGAATTTCACTTAATATATTTTCGATGAAAAGTTTTCAAGCATTACGTGTAAATCCAATTTTCAATGTGCTGTTTCAAGTCTCAATAGAGTATGAGGGAAATTTTCACTGGAATTTATTTTAGCGGAAAAAAGTTTACATTGAAAATGTATTCCACATTATTACATATGTACTGCAGTTTACTTTGATTCGTCCCTAAAATCAAAATCGGTATTACCACACTCCATATGCAAATGAGGTCTGGGAGCAAACAAAGTAGTCCTTTCAACAGTAGCGATTTTTGAAACATAGCAGAAATAAACAATATATAGAAGTACGATATTTAATTTTACCCCTTGGGTACATGAATATACTTGCCGAGTAAAATGAAATTTGAACAACAGTAATGAAACTTCTTGGCAGTCACTTTTTAATTAAAACTAATTTGCATATCACCAACGCAATAATGTTTTTTGTATTTTCATGGACAATATGCAAATGAACATAGTATTGGCGATCCGCTCCACTACGATTGCCCTTAAAATCACTTTTGTGTGTGATTTCCAGTGTTTTCACGTATAAATTCTTCTGTTTTTTTTGGCTTGGCCGATTTCGCTCAAACTTAGCAGGTAGGTTACACCTTCACCCTAGTTATTAGGAAAAATATGAAAAAAATTTCGCCCACCGTTGCCATAGCAACAGCCAAAAAACTGATTTTGGGATAGCTTCGCGTAAATGTATCTCCTGCTACAAATTTAGTATACAACACCTCAGACATAGCTCATTCTACTCAACTTGAGTGTGGGCACAAAGTTACTATTTGTAACATCTGAGAACAAATTCTGACCACCGTTTCCATGGCAACAGCCAAAAATGAATACCTTTACGCCAAATGTATCACACCCAACATTTCTATGATTAAAAAGCACGGACGTAGCTCATTCTACTCAGCTCGAGTGTGGGCAACAATTTACTGTTTTTATGTCTATTTTCATTACCGAGAAAATTAACCCCAAGGTTGGGGTAACTTTTTAGCAGCAAGGTACAACACTCCATTGAGTTACTCATTGTTTCGAGATTGAGCATTGAGTTACTCATTGTTTCGAAATTGAGAAACTCATTGCATCAACATTGAGTTACTCATTGCTTCAACACTGAGTTACTCATTGCTTCAACACTGAGTTACTCATTGCTTCAACACTGAGTTACTCATTGCTTCAAGATTGAGTTACTCATTGCTTCAAGATTGAGTTACACATTGTTTAAAGATTGAGTTACTCATTGCTTCAACATGAGTTACTCATTGCTTCAACATTGAGTTACACATTGCTTAAAGATTGAGTTACCCATTTCTTCAAGATGGCGCTCATTATGAAACAAACATACGTGTATATGCATATTAACTGCCTGGTGATGAGGGCAAGTACTTATGCTGGTGATTATATTCCCCAAAGATTGACAGCATTTTTAGCATCTCTAAAAACTGTCTTTCACCAGACTTTGAGGTAAATTTGACATTCTGATCAAACATTGCAAAACACAATTTTGAAACACAAATGCAACAGACTTCTTAAGAATTAAATAGGGTTCAAAAAATTTCCAGAGAAAAGTTCAATAAAGAATTTTGGGTAATTCATAGTGCTATAAGGTTTATGAATTAATTTATCCATAAAAATATTTGTGATTCATCACAGTTTACCAATCAACATTTTAATATAGTGACAAATACGCGAGTGTCATGCTGCATTTCACAAGTGAATAACTTGCTTGTTTTCAAAAGGTTGCAACTGTTGATTATTACTCTGTTGTGATTATAATAACGTACAAAAAATAAATTTGCTCAATTGTTATGAAATGAAAGTAAAATTCAATTTTGTTTCAACGTAAGTGAATGATTTTGGTCACATGTAAACGCTTGATGCTATACGATATCCGCCATGCTTTTCAAAGCACATGAGTGAACTGAAAGTCGCTAAATAACCAATTAAAATGCTGGATGGTGCCAACATGTTCGAATTACCATACCTCATTTAAATATGTTAAAGTGTAACTGAATTGGAACAATTTACTTTTTTTGTGTGCAAAATTTATTTATAAACAACATTATGAAAAAAACTCAAGTGAAAAATGTACATAAATTAAATAAACGATCAATAGCAATGTTCTGGATAAGGAAACATCCATGTCCAATTTCTTGGCCGACTCAGAACGAGGCTTCAGCTAGAGAACTAATTAGCATACAAGGGTAATTTGTGACGTCACTGGGGGAACTTGTCATCGTTTCACAATGGCCACTATATGTAGGCAGTGCTCGGAAAGCGACACAGACTCTATCTTATTCACACCAAAAATGGCTGTTTATGGTGAGCTAGGAATTAAGGTACCCATTGACTGTTTTATCAAGAAACAACGACTTAAATATTTCAACCAGGTAAGAAACTCTGATAACACATTACTAAAAGAAGCCTACTTAGTAAATAAGAATGTAAAAAGTAAATGGTTTACTAGTGCAGAAACCCTCATGCAAGATATAGATGTTGTCACCATTGTAAACTCAAGTGAAAAAATAATTAAGAAAAATTTAGACTTTATTCATAAAAAAATAAACAAATCATTTGAGAACCAATGGATCTTAGACATGCATAATGATAATGATAATAGAAAACAAACCTTGGCTAAAAACAAACTAAGAACATACAGACTTTTCAAACAAGATTTAAAAATTGAAAATTACCTAATTAATATGCAGAACCATAGTCTTAGAAGGTTAATTGCAAAATTCAGGACAAGCAACCATGACCTTAAAATTGAGAAAGGCAGACATAATAATGTGCCGCTGGATAAAAGAACATGTGATATGTGCAGCCAAAATATAGTTGAGGATGAGCAACATTTTGTAATGAAATGTCCAGCTTACAGTCACCATAGGGACAAATTATTCCTGACTGCACAAAATAAAGTTCCAAATTTTGATAAAGAAAATAGTCAGAATAAATTCATTTTGATTATGGCAAACTATACTCTAGCACCAGCCTTAGCTGTCTTCTTAAAAAACAGCTATGGAACAAAACAGCAACAACTACATTGTATCAGTGTATTAGGCTACATTTTGTGTTCATTCCATATTCTGTATTCACCATTGGCTGCAAATTGTCTTTATTGTTTTTGATTTGTTTTATTTGTTTTAGAAAAGTTTTCATTTTTTGTTTTACTTTTTAGATTGTAGTTTTTTTTTTTTTAAATTTCTTTCTGTAAGACCCTTTTTATCCTTTCCTAAGGATTTTATGCGTCTAATAAAAAAATAAAAAATATCATTGTCAGACGAGAGTTATGAGAACGAGGAATATGATGACAACGAGATATGTCAAGATTTTGTTTTAGAGTGCCAGGGACAAAGTGGCTCATACAGGTTTGAACCTGCGAGAAAAGTACGCGATGTGGGTGACCGTGTACCTCCCCAAAATGACCGTAACGATTCAGGCACAGGCACAGAGTTTGAACATCGTGACCGAAAATCTTAATGTTGTTATTTTTATTAAACTCCACCTGAACAATGTATCGGTAATGTTAGAAAATTTGCACTCTAAAGTGAAAATATTTGTGCGTCCGATAGATCGATGGATCGCGTGTTCTATTTCCGGTAGGACAAATACCTACAACTGCAAGATCGAAACAAATGAAATTGTACTGATAAATGATTCGGGCGTAAAATTGGCACTGCAGATAACGTTATAAGGAGAAGGTCCATCCCAATATTTCATGGTGTTCTTGACGGCTTTGATCCACTGATGTCGTAATTCGAATTTAGGTGAGGGTTCTCCGAACCCGCCTCTTCACATAGTTCATACCCACCATAGACTCCGGTCAGTCAAAATGACTATTTTGAACTGTAGGCATTAATCAGCGATTCTGCCGGTGATGGAGAGATAGAATCCAGGTCAGGGGAAGCCCCATGACCTCAAGATTCTTTTACCCCTTACGTCACGAACCCACGTGACCGAGGCCACCTGGCAGCGCCACAGGTAGCCGTCCTTCACTCTGGTTCC